CGTAAATCCTCATCCATGTCTTCGGAGTCTCTCAAAATCATCTTCGACCAAGATTTATTATCTTAATCATCAGCCTTGACAACAAATATTACTCCTGTGCTCCGATTAATCCCGTGATTTCGAGTGGATGCCTAAACAATCCTCTCGCACTCGCACGGCGATTAAGCCTTTCCGTAGTCCTTCGATTAACTGGGTGATAGATTAACCTGGGAATTAGGCCTTCGCTCGACGCTGATCATCCTGCACGTAGAAAAATCCACCCCCAGATTACTGAGATTAATCTTTCACAAGTTTAATAATTATTGTGGTAGCTGTGGGATTAATCCTGTTAAGAAATCCACCCTTGGATTGAGAGGATGTACAGGACCCGACAAGTGGGTTATAGATATCACCGACATTCACTCGGGAGAGCCGCGATAAAATCATTAATGGAAGCACAGTGTGTACTGGGCAAAGACGCGCCGGAAGGATGAGGATCCCGATGTGTTCTGGTCCAGAATTCCCACATAAATGTGAGGGGTGTTTGTAATTTGTTTACAATTGCAATTGGAGGTCCCACTCGGTATTCAAGGGTGGCGCGTTGTGGAGACACCATCTAAATGAAGTATATAGAGGCTGAAACAGGATGATGTCCGAAATCCTAAAGGAAGGAACAAGTGCAAGGTAGGATGAAGAGCATGCAGTCATTTGAACCACAAAAGAAACCTATTTATGAGTTATAGTCACTTAATGTACTCGCGACACAGACATTGATGCGTGCACCATTCATACACAATACTTTTAGGGTGGGGGATTTCTGGTCCTACACCGATACACCTGAGATAAGAGGTAGATGCCATCTTTGTAATACACCTAAAACTTTAGAACATATCGCTCTAGACTGTGATACTACGCCTGACCGGAAAATTATGTGGAGCCTTACTGTACAGCTTTGGTCTGGGAAATATGCTGACTGGCCAACTTGGGGTTGGGGTTTGATTTTAGGCTGCAACCAGATCAGATTTAAATCGCCTAAAGGTACTTCCCTACCAGGAAAGGCGAGACTATTTGCTATTCTAGTCTCGATTGTGTGGTATTTAACATGGAGCCTACGAGGAGACCGTGTAGTTAGGAATCCCGAAATGATACCTTCGGCAGAAAGTAACCAGAACTGTTGGCTGAAGGCTGTAAACACCGTACTTCAACGTGACTGTATCTTGACTAATAAGACTAAATTTGGGCCCCTTGTGTTGAAGAAACAACTAGTATTGAATATATGGAGTACTAATGGATGAGCCGGATGACTGAATAGATTCAGAGGTGGGTATGCGGCCCATTATTGACGAAACAGGTATATGATAATTTTCAGGCCGGAGCCCCACACTGGTTGATATGGCCCGCCGTGGATGGCTTCGATCGTATCTCAGTCTTGTATTAGACATAGGGGTGGTTGCAATAAACATAGTAAATAAAGTGTGTAAGGGCATTTCCCCTTGCAAAAATTTCCCGGCAACATCCAGTGACCCAAGGGGATGACCTTAGAATGCTCCTGCAGACAAACTTTGGGATGCCCCGTCAATGGCAGTGCCACTTATGTGTGTATCCTCGTCGTGGTGTTTTCCACGCTGAGCGGAAAAGCTTTCGAACTTCAAATATAGCGAGGTGGTTTGTAAAACTTAGCAAGAACTGCTTGGGCCTGTTGAAAGTGGTGCGCGTTGACGCGGCTCTGACGCGCATTGACGCGACAGAGACGCGCACCGACGCGGCACGAGCGCGCACCTGGGAGAGAGTCAGTGGGCTCCCAAAGTGTCATTTACATGTGTAGAAACAATGAACTGTGCACACATTGAGTACCGGTAGCTAATTGAACATGACCTATGAAGAACTTCACTCATTTTCTTATAAAAGTCTTGTGGACTTCAATAGATTATTGTAAGGATGAGATATAATTCATTTTCAATGTATATGGTACTGTACTGGGTCTTTAGAATTCGGGTTTACTAGGTTCTGAATGGGTTTAGTAATGCCGCGCCAGTGCCGCGTCAATGCGCGTCAGTGCCGCGTCAATGTGCGTCAGCCGCGTCAAAATATCCTGACCTATCCGCATTTGGACGGGCGGGAAAGCGCCATCGTGCATTGAATGCACCATCAAAATTGCGGGCAACGACGCCGCCATGGGGCGCAGGTGGGCACTATCAAAATGGGTGGCGTGAGCTGATGTATCAGAGCGCATTGCTAATTGGCAGTTTTTTTGTATCATGGGCACATTGCTACTTAGCAATCCCATCACCATATACGCCTGCATCCGCCGCCAAATTTTTGCGTCCAGACTCCATGCCACTACTTTCGGGCAATTAATTTCAGAAAACTCTCGGCCTCATTGCATCTTCTCCCAACCTCTTGCCGTTCTTCCGCAAGGTCGTTGTCCGTTTCAGTCTTTCCATTCCCCAGGGTCAGCATGCGCCGTATATCTTGGATCAGCGAGTGCCCTTTATCCTGGATATGTTCCACGGTGTCGAGTCATTAGTCCTCATGGGCTATTAGAGTTGACTCTTGATGCGGCGATCCTCCGCCTTGTTGTTTAATCAGCGTCCAGCTGTTGTTCGGATCGATAAGCCAATCCTTCTTCATCTCCGTAATTGCGGCGTCCCCCATATTGCACCTATACCACACAGATGTCTCATCCGACCAACACTCTTCCATCATACACTATCCCGCAACATCGTCCCCTCCGTCGGTACTCGAGTCTCTTATTCTGAGGGTAGATTCGATGCACAGATCGGTTTCTGCTTTCCGTCTGCACCCCAACACCGCCGCTCATCTTCGGTCTCTGAGACACCTATGCATCTGGGAGAGCTTCGGTCTAGAATTCTTCATGAGTTTCATCCAGATCACGTCCTGACCCTCGAGACGCTGACCCTCGTAATCTATCCACTCGGCGACCCATTCCCCAACCTTCCCCCCCTTCGTGCGCTCCGGTTGCTCGAATTCCACTTCATAGGAGGAGGGGTTTCGCGCATCGACGGGGTCGTCCGCAGCCTGCATCTTCAGGTGCCAAATGTAACGGTCGGGGATCTCAAACCGTCCGATCCGGATATGACGTGTCTCTCCGCATCCATTCAACAATATCTACCGGCATGATATTTTCATCCAACACCGAGCATCAGTGAGAAACGCCTCGTGTGTACTACAGTGCGTCTTCAAGTCTGCTGGCACCTAATTTCAAATCAGTCCGACGACCATCCTCCTTTCCTCTCAATCCATTTATTCCTATTGTCGTAGCTCGATTTCCAATATTCCCAGCTGTGTTTGGTAAGTGCGTATTCCCTGTCGCAAACTCCGTCCATGATATTTCCGTAAGGTCTCCCTGCTTTCTTATTATTTTCCCGCGCGCATCCAACTCCGTCCACGTACTTTGTTCTGAAGCCCGTGTGCTCCGACCACCACTGCTGTGCGTTGGCTCAACTACTCACGTCCTCGCTATCTGGGCGGCGAACTTCCCATTCTACGCCCCAGGAGGCCACGGTCTATGTGTGGATTTCTGTGAGCTGATAAAGGTTCAGCATTGTTTCATCTCTGCCCAGTGAATTTGAATCAGCCTACTATTAAAAGTTGGCTGCGCAAAGAGTATTAAATCCAAACACGGATGACTGATTCTCGCATGTGTCGGCCTGAAAAGCCCCTATAGCACACCTCCTTTTGGGTGAAATAATCGGACGCGGTGTGCTGAACACGGTGAGTTGTCAAAGATCGTATTTGCAACTACTCGCAGTTAGGGGATCGACTCCCCGCGTCCGAATGTCTTTTCGCCTTGTGAATTCATTTTGCATCCGATGCAATGGCTTGATATTTTTTCGGATACATGTAGCTAGCTATAGAGTGCAACGCCGAACCGCCTGTCTGAGTGTGCGGCGTCGTCGCTCCAGTTTTCAATCATTGGAAGAGAAGAAGAAGCAGAAGAAGAAAAATCGAGGCCGGTTATTGAAATCGTAAGAGTCCTAAGATCTCAGCCCACATTTTATGCTCACGGTGAGATAGCATATATACCTTCAGTTGTAGTAATATCCATCGGACGTCGTGGGGTACTGAACACGGAGAGTTGAAGTTGCGAAGACCTTCGTAGGCGCTCGCAGTTCGGGGTTCGACTCCCCGCATACGAAGAGCTCGCGAAATGGATACTTTTACTTTTGGGATGGAGTGCCTCAATTTTTTTGTGTGTAGCTAACTAGCTATAGAATTCAAAGCCCGGTTGCTTGAATGACTGGGAGCCGCAATCGCTCTGTTTTGCAATGGCATTGGAAACGAGAAAGAAATTGTTCAACGTCGTGGATGATTGTCGGATTCATAAGAGTCGCGGCTGTTGCTCTTCCACTCGTCCCAGGCGCCACCGTGTTCGACCGTCGGGAACTGAAAGACGACGCGTGACGCCAAGAAAAAAATATGGAGATGGTCGACATCCATGCATCGACGGGGAGTCGAACCCCGAACCCGGTCGAAACGGAAACCTGTGTGTTCCGTACACCACCAATGCGTATTTCCCTAACTTTCGTCCTGGATATGTATGTGGTTTGAGATTTTCAATCACTCTAAATGCAATGGACTGGCAGCTCCGCTGCGTAATTTCTGTGGTCAAATGCCAATTATGCAGGACCAATTTATATAATTCCGGGCTTTTTTAGCAGCAGATATATGTATAGATGACACCCCAGAGCATTGCGCTGGTTCCATACTTGAGCTAAAAATGAGACTGAAATGTGGAACGCTGAAAAGTTCGACGCGCGCTTTTATGCATGGGCGAGGAATCGAACTCTGCATTCAGCCGTAATGTGTCCGAACGCACGGATTGCTGCGTGTGCGTAGTCGTTGGTTGGGCTGGGCCCCACGTTTTAGCTCAGTTAAATTCGCCGAATCTTCCAAGAAGGAGTGGACATAGATTGGCAGTGCGAAGAGTATTGCAAATTGTTGGGGATAATCATGGAAAGTCCCTCCAGCATACGTACCTTCGCTAGGAATAATATTTATCGGACGTGGTGTACTGAACACGGCGAGTTGAACTTAGGGTGCGTGTGAATGCAATTGCTCGCAGTTCGGGGTTCAACTCCCCGCGTCCGAATTAGGGCGACGTATCATCCTTTTTTCTTTTGCGATGTAGTGGCTCAAGATTTTTATGTGCCTATCATGCAAACTTGAATGATTCAGCAATGCGGTACATGACTCTGGTTTGCAATGGTGTTATAGGAAACAAGAAAAAAAAAAGTTCAATGCTGTGGACGATTATTGTATTCATAAGGATCGTGACATACCGGATCCCAACCCACACGCCACATGTATACACTATTTGGCCCGCGGATGGCTCTTCCACTCGTCCCCGGCGTTCTCAATGCGTGTCGAGCCCCTAAAGGCGTTCATCTACATCACGATCAGTCACGTCACCTCGGTCACACTTCTCATTTTTTTGCCCCACTTCTAACTGGAATCCCAATCCACAAGCTAGCCAGATGGACGTCGACCGCGCCCTTCGCGCGCGCCCGCAGCGGGTATGTCCCCGCCAACCCCTACGGCACCACCGCCTAGCCGCGCAGCGCCACAAGCAAGAAGCGCAAGCGCGCGCTCGCCGCCCTCGTCATCATCGCTGCCACGGTCGTCCTGCCCCCGCTCGACGCCTCTTCCTGATGCCAATCTACTGCGGCGCTAACCCGACTGACAGATACCCGCCGATGCCGAACTACGGCGCAGCGTATGCCACGACCCCCCCGCTGCCCTTCATCCATGCAGCCATGCGGCCCCACACCCTTCTCCTACTTTCCGATCCCGCTCCCCGCTTTGGTTATTTTTCGTGCCCCCGCGCATTCCCTCCCATTCCTTCGTTCACTCCTGTAGGCGCGGGAACGTCGCCGTCCGTACGCGGCCTCCACATCGCCATTCGGGCGAAACGTGCGGGCGGCTCCGCGTGCCGTTTGTGGCTGGCGTCGTTGCTGCACTGGTGCAAACTAGCCCTAGGGCTACCCGTCGCGTTAGGTGAGGCGGCTGCTAAGGGCTACCCTGGTGTGTCGACTTATCTGCGCGCCGTGTCACCGTCTCCCTACTGTACGTCGTCCCGTCCCCCATCCCCCTCGGACCGTTGGTTTCCCGCCTCCATCCATCTTTATGTCTGGCACGCTCTTCTTGCGCCCTCCCTCTAATATCCAAAATGGCATATACTCACTTGCAACATCCCATGCTCACTTGAAAAACAAAAAACCCACATACACTAACCCCCTCGCTTATTAGCCATCTCCCCCGCGCTCTTCCTGATGGGTGGACGCTCGCGGCCGCCATGTGCGCGGACGGCAGACTTGGGAGCAGGATGGAGAAGCACTATGATGAGTTTATTGTGCGTGTCTCGCATTCTTCGCACCCTCTATTACCCTTTCTTCCGTCTCATTGGGGGCATGTTTTTCTTCGTTGTTTTTCTCTCTTTCGGTTCGCTTAGCTGCTATTCCTTTCTACTTATTTCTTTTTCATCTTTGTTTCTACGAAAGATTTTTTTTTTTCGTTCCGCATGATTTTCCTCACTTGGATTTTCTGATCCGTCCCTTTCGTCTCTCATCTTTCTTTTTCTGCTTCTTTTTTAGGGTCCGCGTTGTTTGGTTGTTCCTCTTCTGAAGTGTGTTTTGCGTTCCAGGTCGCCGTAAGGGGAGCTTATTTACGGCGTCGCGGGCTCGGCACCCGACGCATCTGGTATCGTCGTCTCGCGGCGCGGACCGCGCGTCTTGCGTTCGGTTCGCCTGTAAGGGGAGGTTACTTCCGTGTTATGCGCCACCACGTCTACGGGCATCGTGGCCCGAGCTCTCTTCGCGTTCGTCCAAGCTCGTTTCGTCTTCGTCGGGCTCTGCGAGTGGGCCGCGCCTTTTTCGCGTGCTTTCCCCGTTCTGGGCGCCGGCTGGTGATGATTTTCTTTTTTGGGGGGCATCATCCTGTATACTAGTCGATAATTCGAGCAAATAATTTGTAAACCACGATACAGGAATGTCAAGGTAGCTAGCTAGTTGTGATCACCGACGTGCAACCCATACGACGAGTTCTCCTGCTCTAATTTCGAGACACAGGGTGATTGGAAGACAGACGTATTCCAGACAGCAGGAACCGTCTTTACAAAGACGAAGATCCAAAGCAGGAACACCGCGACTAGTGGCACGAATAAGATACGGACAGGCGGTAACAGCCGTCTTGAGCTCACCAGAAAAAATAGCGCCGAGGTAGTTGAGCACTGGACTGCCGAGCACCGAACCCAGCTCGACGGTTAGCAGTGCAAATACCCCGTTCGGGAAAATAGTGCCCCAGTAGCCGATGGAGAAGGGCACGCGCTGCTTGTGGAGGACGCTGTACACCGAGCAGAGAGCGAGGATCAGCCATGCCAATCTCATCGACCAGAGGTGTTAGAATGGCGTGCGCACTACCGCTTAGCCACATAACCGGTTATGTGGCTAAGCGGTAGTGCGCACGCCATTCTAACAAGAGGATCCAGGCTGCGCAGAAACACACAGATTGGATGGCTTCGGCGCTGAAGGGAGCGCTTAATTGGAGGTCAACGAGATTTCGCGAATTTACGAGCATGGAATAGCCGCCTTGGCCCAAGGGGCCCAGGATGAGGAATGACGACAGTATACCGTCAGGATCCAGTGGTCCGTGTATGACGAGACGCATGAGATACACGGTGATGATTATGAAGTCAGTGGAAAGGCCCATGACAAGCATTGTAAACGAGACTGCGGTGGTGATTGACGAGTAGACTGGATGCAATTGCAAAGGGGCAGCCAGGAGACCGCCAGTGGACGATGCGACGATCAGGGGGACGACTGGTAACAGCCAGAGCGCAGACATTTGGCCCAACGTATGCTGCTGTCTCGTCATCCTAGAGCGAGTAATTAGAAGTGAAACCAAGCAGTTTGGTGACATACATGACATATAACATCCCAAAGGCCGTGAATATTGAAAAGGCAGAATCCAGCCACCAAAATGCCCACAGGCTGAACACCAGTGCCAGAAAATGAGTAGCGTTGATTGATGGCAAGAGCGGTATTAATTAAGGTCGCCGCCCCCATAGGAAAAGCACCGATAATAAGACTTTGGGCGGGATGCTGCAGCATCGCCGGCCACAGCTGTTCAATGCATAAGTTGAGATGCAACAGAGGTCGAGGAAAAGTGTCCCACCTCTGGAAACATGTAATAGCGCAGCATTGTAGCCCCGCATATGGAAATGAAGAGGCAGAGGTTGAAGAAGAAGAGGAGGGTGAGGATCTTAATGGTCTCGCTATTTTCTCCAAAGTGAATGAGGGAAATCAACGTAGAGACAGATCCTGTCCCCATTACAACCTAAAATTTATTGGTCTTAAACCAGACCTTCAATTCCGAAGAGGGCGCACCGTGTGCCACGACCAAGTGAAATGGCGAATACAGTTCTTGATGCTCCTTCGGTTCGACATCATAGGGAGGGAGAGAAGAGGGAAAGAAGACGGAGAGAAGACGGAGAGAAGAAGCAGATTTATAACGATATATAAGGGACACAGTCAGCTCTGTTTCTCAATTTTCCATCATTCGGAATACGGTTCGAGAATTCGGAATACACGTTAGAACTTAGAAGCGATGATTTCGAGAGAACAGTGGAGCATAGACAGCTAGCGGAGGCCCCTAAATGCCCTCGATATCGAGATCCCGATAGAATACCCAGCGAACTTTGTAGCAATGGGACGAAGGACCTGCAAGTTGAGGGACAAGAATTATGAATCTGTCGTCACGATCCCGATCCGGAATTCGGAATGATGACGAGATCGGGCTCTATCGGGCTCCGTGCCTAGCCGTGGCAAGCGGCATGATAAAATTAAAACAAGATATACCTGCGCTCCGCTCCGGCACGAGGGTAACAGTTCAAAGTTGGTATTATTACAGAATTAACCGTCATATACATCTACTAAATATTCAATACAAACATGACAATGGCTACGATACAGTGGTGTGAAACCCAATCAGGCAGGTGCAAGAGGTGTGTACACACAATCGTAGATTCACAAAACTCCCCGTTCAACAATCTCAGATGATACATAGCTTCTTGAACAAAGGAAAGCTGCAGAGAATGGCGGCCAATAATTTTCCTTGCACCAGATTCTGGGATTGATGTCCAGAAGTTGACCATAAGTCCAGCCAGAGGGGTTTTGTAAAATTACACGGAGTGCAGCCATTTTAAAACCATTTGAACAGGCGGAACAGGAGAATACCAAGATCCAAGATACCAGAGCAGCAGAATTCTTTGATCGAATGTATGAGGGATGCAGCTCTTTCCTACAACGGCAAGCCCAGCAAACATCCGTGGCCACAGTAACTTCTTGAATCTTCTGCCCCATAGCAGTAAGGCACACTTTTTCATGCTGCGCTTCATTGCGGCGCAGGCAAGCGCAGTGATTTTGAACTGCGCGGCAGTCATGTCTGATGTTGTGTCGGGGAATACGTGCCGTAGGCGCAGCAGCTGCGGCACAGCACGTTTATAGAGCTTGTCTCTGACATGTCTTTGCACAGCATCCAAATGCGGAATCTTGAACTGCGGCAAAGGAGAACTGTGTCAAGAGCATTGAAGAGGTTCGTCTTCATGCTGTGGAACGTGCAGGAATGCCGAATAACACGGATCTCCGTGGTTGCAAATGGAGAATGGCTGTGGGCTTGCTGCGAGTGTGTGGGAGCGGAAAATATTAGGTAGGAAGGGCCAGGGCAGAGGAACTGGAAAGGGGATAATGCAAATGGATGTTGACCAAATACACCGCAATGAAAACGATGGATTTCGCTAAGAGAACAAATAATCTTATTGAAAGAAATCAAACACGCAAGCAGGCACAAAGAATCTGGGAAAATATGATGAGAAAGATGGTGAACGAAGCGCGTTGGAATAATGAAGAGTTGGAGGATGTTCTGCTTCGGAGCCAGAAATCCAGAAGCGGAGGACGGAGACCAGCTCGGGACCAGCTCGGTGATAGCATGCACGGTTTGAACGATGAGCTCAGATGACGACGGATATCAATATTGCCAAGGAATCTAGCCTCTTGAAGAGTACCAGGAGTTCCATATTGGTGAATAGCTGTTTGG